CTAGGCAATTTCATGCAACACATTGCAGTAAAAGTGTTTGTACAGTTCAAATAAAGCTTATACAAAACAAAGGGAGCTTTGTGAGGCACTGAATTGTGCACCACACTGCCCCCTATACAGCCAGCTACGGAGACCAGAATCACTTTGACTGCTTTGCGATTTAAGGATTTGCATGTGTGAATTCGCTGTAAAGGATAAGTTCATCTTTTGTAATATGGAGCAGGGTCATAACATCGGGGGGGGGGATCCTCCTCTCCCTGCGCCAGTTGTCAACAGTTTAAAAAAGAGAACGGCTGTGTGTGGCAGCCAGCTTGTGGTTCTTAATAAATGGCAACCCTGCATGAGTCATGATGACACCAGGACCTTAGATAGCTGTGGTGTGGGGAAGAAAGTGCTTCTGGGACTTGTCTGGCAGCATGGAGGAGCAGAGGATCTGGAAAGTATCACTACTTTTATAAAATAACTTTTGTATGAGCAGCCACAATCTGCTAATGCATTTGCAAAGAGAAAACCGATTCTAGGTTTATTTGAGCTAGGATGTTATCGGTTTTGAGGATGCACGCACATCAGTATTGCTCCTTTCACTGTTTTACTGAAAGTCTGTAGATCTCAGAATTAATAGAAACATAGAAAAGTGACGGCAGAAAAAGACAGAGTGGTCCATCGAGTCTCCCCCCCAAAGTATAGACCTATGCTTGTCCCAAGCATGTTTGAAGCTATTTTCGGTTGACTGGCTAACTACCTCTGCTGGACGTTTATTCCAACCATCAACTATCCTTTCAGTAAAATAATACTTTCTGAGATTAGTTTTGAAATTTCCTCCAGTTTAAGGTCCCCGTGTTCTTGATTTTGGTTTCGTGTTGTAAATCCTGCCCTCCTGAACCTTATTCACCCCCTTGATGTATTGAAATGTTTCAAACGTGTCTCCCCTTTCCCTTCTTTCCTCCAGACTGTACATGTTATGTTCCTGAGGTTGCTCTTGATAGGTTTTATGCCCCAGACCTTTCACCATTTGTTACCCGTCTCTGGACTCGTTCTATCTTAATATCTTTTTGTAAGTGAGGTCTTCAGAACTGGACACAGTATAGTAAATGAGGTCTCATTAAAGATCTGTACAGGTGAAACTCGAAAAATTAGAATATTGTGCAAAAGTTCATTTATTTCAGTAATGCAACTTAAAAGGTGAAACTAATCTATGAGATAGACTCATTACATGCAAAGCAAGATAGTTCAAGCCGTGATTGGTCATAATTGTGATGATTATGGCTTACAGCTCATGAAAACCCCAAATCCACAATCTCAGAAAACTAGAATATTACATGCAATCAATAAAACAAGGATTGTACATAGAACAATATCAGACCTCTGAAAAGTATAAGCACGCGTATGTACTCAGTACTTGGTTTGGGCCCCTTTTTCATCAATTACTGCCTCAATGCGGCGTGGCATGGAAGCTATCAGCCTGTGGCACTGCTGAGGTGTTCTGGAAGACCAGGATGCTTCAATAGCGGCCTTCAGCTCTTCTGCATTGTTCGGTCTCATGTCTCTCATCTTTCTCTTGGCAATGCCCAATAGATTCTCTATGGGGTTCAGGTGAGTTTGCTGGCCAATCAAACACCGTAATCCCATGGTCATTGAACCAGGTTTTGGTGCTTTTGGCAGTGTGGGCAGGTGCCAAGTCCTGCTGGAAAATGAAGTCAGCATCCCCATAAAGCTCATCTGTGGAAGGAAGCATGAAGTGCTCCAAAAGCTCCTGGTGGATGGCTGCGTTGACCCTGGACTTAATGAAGCACAGTGGACCAACACCAGCAGATGACATGGCTCCCCAAATCAACACAGACTGTGGAAACTTCACACTTGACTTCAAGCATCTTGCAGTGTGTGCCTCTCCATTCTTCCTCCATACTCGGGGTCCTTGTACCTCTCCATTCTTCATCCATACTCTGGGTCCTTGGGCCTCTCCATTCTTCCTCCATACTCTGGGTCCTTGGTTTCCAAATGAGATGCAAAAGTTGCTCTCATCAGAAAAGAGGACTTTGGACCACTGAGCAACAGACCAGGTCTGTTTTTCTTTAGCCCAGGTAAGACACTTCTGACGTTTGTTGTTCAGGAGTGGCTTGACAAGAGGAATACAACATTTGAAGCCCATGTCCAGGATCCATCTGTGTGTGGTGGCTCTTGCTGCACTGACTCCAGCCTGAGTCCACTCTTTGTGAAAGTCCCCAACACTTTTGAATGGCCTTTTCCTGACAATCCTCTCCAGGCTGCGGTCATCCCTGCTGCTTATGAACCTTTTTCTTCTACACTCTTCCCTTCCACATAACTTTCTATTAATGTGCTTTGATACAGCACTTTGAGAACATCCAACTTCTTTTGCAATTACCTTTTGAGGCTTTCCCTCCTTATGGAGGGTGTCAATGATGGTTTTCTGCACAACTGTCAGGTCAGCAGTCTTTCCCATGATTGTGATTCCTACTGAACCAGACCAGAGACCATTTAAAGCAGCGGTTCTCAACCTGGGGGTCGAACGACCATTTCCCAGGGGTCGCCTAAGACCATCGGAAAACACATATTTCCGATGGTCTTAGGAACCGAGACACCGCTGCTGTCTCCGGCGATGTGTGGGCGGGATGATATGCTGCCCCTGTCACCACCTCCTCGCCGCTGATTGGCCACCGGAACTGTAGCTCAGGAGAGGCACACAGGCGGCCAATCACCGGCGAGAAGGTGGAGCTTGGAGAGGAGGAGCCGAGCGGCAGCGCGCGGAGATCGAAGAAGATCGAGGGAGCTGCAGGAACGAGTGAAGAGAGAGGCCAGAGAAGGAAGACAGGTAAGTGCAAATTTTGCTGCTGCAGCCAGGTATGCAGGCTGTAGATGGGAGAGGGAGAGAGCGAGCCCAGGCTGGAGCAGGAGTCAGCAAGGTAAGTATCATTGGTGTCAGTGGAAGGGATAGTGCCCCATCATTTGTGTCACTAATACCAACGATGGGGCACTATTCCTCCCCCCACTGACCAACGATGGGGCACTATTCCTCCCCTCACTGACGCCAACGATGAGGCACTATTCCTCCCCCCACTGACGCCAACGATGGGGGCACTATTCCTCCCCCCATTGACGCCAACGATGGGGCACTATTCCTCCCCCCACTGACGCCAACGATGGGGCACTATTCCTCCCCCCACTGACGCCAACGATGGGGCACTATTCCTCCCCCCACTGACGCCAACGATGGGGCACTATTCCTCCCCCACTGACGCCAACGATGGGGCACTATTCCTCCCCCCACTGACGCCAACGATGGGGCACTATTCCTCCCCCCACTGACGCCAACGATGGGGCACTATTCCTCCCCCCACTGACGCCAACGATGGGGCACTATTCCTCCCCCCACTGACGCCAACGATGGGGCACTATTCCTCCCCCCACTGACGCCAACGATGGGGCACTATTCCTCCCCCCACTGACGCCAACGATGGGGCACTATTCCTCCCCCCACTGACGCCAACGATGGGGCACTATTCCTCCCCCCACTGACGCCAACGATGGGGCACTATTCCTCCCCCCACTGACGCCAACGATGGGGCACTATTCCTCCCCCCACTGACGCCAACGATGGGGCACTATTCCTCCCACTCATACCAATGACGGGGCGCTATTCCTCCCACTGACGCCAATGACGGGGCGCTATTCCTCCCACTGACGCCAATGACGGGGCGCTATTCCTCCCACTGACGCCAATGACGGGGCGCTATTCCTCCCACTGACGCCAATGACGGGGCGCTATTCCTCCCACTGACGCCAATGACGGGGCGCTATTCCTCCCACTGACGCCAATGACGGGGCGCTATTCCTCCCACTGACGCCAATGACGGGGCGCTATTCCTCCCACTGACGCCAATGACGGGGCGCTATTCCTCCCACTGACGCCAATGACGGGGCGCTATTCCTCCCACTGACGCCAATGACGGGACGCTATTCCTCCCACTGACGCCAATGACGGGACGCTATTTCTCCCACTGACGCCAATGACGGGACGCTATTCCTCCCACTGACGCCAATGACGGGACGCTATTTCTCCCACTGACGCCAACGACGGGACGCTATTCCTCCCACTGACGCCAACGATGAGGCGCTATTCCTCCCACTGACGCCAACGATGGGGCGCTATTCCTCCCACTGACGCCAACGATGGGGCGCTATTCCTCCCACTGATGCCAACGATGGGACACTATTCATCCCACTGACATCAGTGATGGGGCGCTAGTCCTCCCACTGCAAAATTACAGTTATGAAGTAGCAACGAAAAGAATTTTATGGTTGGGGGTCACCACAACATGAGGAACTGTATTAAGGGGTCGCGGCATTAGAAAGGTTGAGAACCACTGATTTAAAGGCTCAGGAACCCTTTGCAGGTGTTATGGCTTAATTAGCCGATTAGAGTGGGACACTTTGAGCCGAGAATATTGCACCTTTTCACAATATTCTAATTTTCTGAGATTGTGGATTTGGGGTTTTCATGAGCTGTAAGCCATAATCATCACAATTATGACAAATCACGGCTTGAACTATCTTGCTTTGCATGTAATGAGTCTATCTCATATATTAGTTTCACTTTTTAAGATGCATTACTGAAATAAATGAACTTTTGCATGATATTCTAATTTTTCGAGTTTCACCTGTGTATGAGAATCAGGACCTCCTTCCTCCTGCTGGTGATCCCTGCAGTGATGCATCCTAGAATTCTATTCACTTTCCCCACTGCCTGGTCACACTATTTGCTCATTTTGCAATCATCTGAAATAAGTACTTCCAGGTCCCTTTTCTCTGAAGTGCTGGCCAACACTGTACCCCCAATGTTGTACTCTCTCAATGTATTCTTTTTCCCTAGGTGCATTATTTTACATTTAGAAACATTGCATTTCATGTGCTAAGAAAAATTGATTTACTATATTTCTGTCAACACGAAAGTGAACACAACTTGTTCCTTGTCTTTAAAATACCTGCTGTCCATCTGCAAGTCCAAGCTTCTCTCCCAGCTGTCTGTTAAGCTCGATAGTTCCAGAGTTTGTTCTGCTCCGACTTTCCATCCATCCAAGGTAAACTGGCTGATCGCCCCATGACACTTCCACTGCATGGCCCTGTTTAAAAATAAGCTCTGTGTTAAACATACACACTCAGATACTGTGATTAAATCAATTTGATTTTGAAAATACCCTGATTTTCTGAGAATTAAAGCCTTGGTACATTTTCCCAAAGACGGGAGAAATACAGAAGCGGATACTGGCCTCTTTCTGGAAATGTTTTATGCTTGGCTGTAATAAATGAGTCATAAGCAAGCTGTAAATGTCCCAGAAGAGTTAAATTCCTCATCTATTCAACTGTTCCAGATTAGTCGTACAGAAAGCATGGAAGCCAAAGTATCAATGTGATAGTATGGAAACTAACCACCTCAAAACCAGTCAGCAATTGAAGTCTACATAATTCTTTAACAGGTTTATTTGAAGTTAATCGGTCTCAAAAATAAAACTTGAAAGCCGTACTTGTAAAGAAGATATAAGCTTCCTGCTGTTTGCACTGCCAAACACCTATTGGAAGTAGATGTCTGCAGAAACTACTTCCTGGAGTGTGCTTCTTCCTATAGACCTGCTACATTACTACCACACACAAGAGTGACTGGCGGATCAAAGTGTTGGTTTCAAGCGAGATGGTTATCTTCTGGAGCAGTGATGGACCAGTATGTTGCAGGACTTTCAGTGGCTATACCGAAGTGATGACTGCAACTGCAGGCATCACTCTAGTATTGTTCTTCAAAGCCCTCTTGTACAAACAATTGGAGCAGCTAACTAGCCGTCGCATACTTGTAAAAGCAGGGGGAGGGGATGTCCCCCTACCCTCTCAGGATCTCCCATCTCACCGGGAGTCCTGAGCAACCAGCCGGGTGCATCCGACTGGACGGATAGCCGAGCAAACCTGGATTTGGCTTTGATCGGGTCTCCTTTATTGTAAACCGGAAATGATGACCTGACACCACTTCCAGTTCACTCAAACTTTTGGAACCATTTTTAAAAATCTGAAAGCATTCAAAAATACCAATCTTAGTGTTTTTAATGTTTTCAAGTGCAGAGGGGGGATGTGAGGTCTTATAGACAGTGTAACTATAATACAAAAAAGATTAACAAAATTACAGTGCCTCCCTGCTCATGCACAAAGTTGAACGCACGTGCCGAAACCACACACACGCAAACAGCGCTTGTCCCACATGTGAGGCGTGATCTGAGAGTCTATGGGATTGAATTGCATCAAAGTAGTGCAGGAACCTTTTTAAAAGTTGTTGCGACTTGATTTTCATTGATTAGAATGACTGCCATTGAAATGAATGCGCATTCACTTGTCATGCGTCCAAGTTGCACCAGTGTGCTGTAGAGAAGACATGGCTGCAGATAAACAGGTACAACATGTTTTCAAATGATTTGTTTCATCTCTGTGGATCACCAGAGGCCAGTCACCTCACTGGGGATATGAAAGATTTTACAACCATTTTAAGTTTTGAAAAATAGTTGCTTTCCTACAATAGTAAATGTGGTGAGCGTGGGCAGTGGTTGGAGGGTGTACAGCAGGAGACAAGTGGTACTAAAGTCTATTTTTAAAAAATTGCTGATAATAAGGTCTCTGCTGATTTAAAAAACCTATTAGCCTCTTCTGTCATAAATACACCCTGCTTGTCAGCTGTCATGTACACGGAACCGCACATGTATAATATCATAATGGGATATTCTGCGGTGCATACATGGGCCCCACCTAGGGGCCCATGAAACAAATAAAAAAGGTTTAATATTGCTTTAAACTGGCAGTACACTAGAAGAAATCTCATCAGTACCATTTGATGACCTGAGGGATGTTCAAAAGCACTTTAATACCAAATGTAAATACTTTTTCTTTTTTTAACCTCCTTAGCAGTATTCCCGAGTGTAGCTCGGGGTAAAATTTCAGTACCAAAAGCGGTATCCACGAGCTACACTCGGGCTTACCATACGGCGTTCTCCGGGGGTCCCTGCAGCACTTACCTTGTCCTTCGCTCCCACGATGTGTCCCCTGCAGCGTCCCCGGTCATCTCCTCCGGCCGATGCCGGCATCCGTGTTCCGGTCCCTGTGACGTCGGGACGTACGGGCGCCGGAACCGGCGGGAAATTTGAAATTTTTAAAATGTCATTTTTGCTGTCATTGCTGTTTCAATGCATTTCACATACATTTTGTCCCTACTGCTTTGTCCTGTGCCTTGCCTGCATTTTGACTGTTCTTTCCGCCTGGAAACTTAGAAAAGTCCATGGCGTCCCTTTACGTCAAAAGTGGTTTTAGAACAGCGATAGTAAATCAGAACCACTTGTAGAATTGAGTGATAATGATTTGTGGGGAAATTCGTCATCAGACACTGAAAACAATTTTTTAAACTGTGCTCAGTGATGTGCGATTTTGCCTCTGTATTTCAAATTTCAGTGTTTTTGGTTTGATTATATTATTGAATTAAATTTATTAATTATTTTTTATGATTATTTATTAAATTATAATTTATGATTTCGTGTTTCAAGTTTTATCATACCCGGGATGTTTACTAGACTCTTGTTCGGACAGATTTCAGTGAGTTATTCCTAAAAATTACAGCCTACAATAGAAAAAACTACATACAGTGGGGATCGAAAGTTTGGGCACCCCGGCTAAACATTTGTATTAATGTGCATAAAGAAGCCAAGGAAAGATGGAAAAATCTCCAAAAGGCATCAAATTACAGATTAGACATTCTTATAATATGTCAACAAAAGTTAGATTTTATTTCCATCATTTACACTTTCAAAATAACAGAAAACAAGAAAATGGCGTCTGCAAAAGTTTGGGCACCCTGCAAATTTATAGCATGCACTGCCCCCTTTGCCAAGCTGAGACCTGCCAGTGTCATGGATTGTTTTCAATCATCGTCTGGGAAGACCAGGTGATGTCAATCTCAAAGGTTTTAAATGCCCAGACTCATCTGACCTTGCCCCAACAATCAGCACCATGGGTTCTTCTAAGCAGTTGTCTAGAAAACTGAAACTGAAAATAGTTGACGCTCACAAAGCTGGAGAAGGCTATAAGAAGATAGCAAAGCGTTTTCAGATGTCAATATCCTCTGTTCGGAATGTAATTAAGAAATGGCAGTCATCAGGAACAGTGGAAGTTAAAGCAACATCTGGAAGACCAAGAAAAATATCAGACAGAACAGCTTGCAGGATTGTGAGAAAAACAATTCAAAACCCACGTTTGACTGCACGATCCCTCCAGAAAGATCTGGCAGACACTGGAGTTGTGGTACACTATTCCACTATAAAGAGATACTTGTACAAATATGGTCTTCATGGAAGAGTCATCAGAAGAAAACCTCTTCTACGTCCTCACCACAAAAATCATCGTTTGAACTTTGCAAATGAACATATAGACAAGCCTGATGCATTTTGGAAACAAGTTCTGTGGACCGATGAGGTTAAAATTTAACTTTTTGGCCGGAATGAGCAAAGGTACGTTTGGAGAAGAAGGGGCACAGAATTTAATGAAAAGAACCTCTGTCCAACTGTTAAGCATGGGGTTGGATCAATCATGCTTTGGGGTTGTGTTGCAGCCAGTGGCACAGGGAACATCTCACAAGTAAAAGGAAAAATGGATTCAATATAATTTCAGCAAATTTTGGATGGTAACTTGATGCCATCTGTGAAAAAGCTAAAGTTAAAGAGAGGATGGCTTCTACAAATGGATAATGATCCTAAACACACCTCGAAATCCACAGGGGATTACATCAAGAGGCGTAAACTGAAGGTTTTGCCATGGCCTTCACAATCTCCTGACCTCAACATAATTGAAAATCTATGGATAGACCTTAAAAGAGCAGTGCGTGACAGACAGCCCAGAAATCTCAAAGAACTGGAAGACTTTTGTAAGGAAGAATGGGCAAAGATACCTCAAACAAGAATTGAAAGACTCTTGGCTGGCTACAAAAAGCGTTTACAAGCTGTGATACTTGCCAAAGGGGGCAGTACAAGATATTAACTCTGCAGGGTGCCCAAACTTTTGCAGACGCCATTTTTTTGTTTTCTGTTATTTTGAAAGTGTAAATGATGGAAATAAAATCTAACTTTTGTTGACATATTATAAGAATGTCTAATCTGTAATTTGATGCCTTTTGGAGATTTTTCCATCTTTCCTTGGCTTCTTTATGCACATTAATACAAATTTTTAGCTGGGGTGCCCAAACTTTCGATCCCCACTGTATTTCTATGCAAAAAAATGGTACCGCTTTCAGCACAAAAAAAAAATCGGAAAGAATCATACCGCCGAGGAGGTTAAGTAAATAGCCTTTCCTAAACAATAACCACTTTCTCAGAAAAGTTTCCCATTCTGTTCCTTCAAATTGTCTTGTCACTACATTTGAAAACCAACCTCAATTTGACCCAAATAACGACTGGAAATTAGAGCAGAGATGTCTGACCTTTTGACTTTTCTGAGCCCCACGTAAAATCCACTAACAATAAGGAGAGCTGATGAGCAAAGTCAAGCAGATCACAAGTTACCGATCACTGAGATAGATAATGCACCTGAGTAATAAATCTTCATTTTTTGTAATTTTTTATAATAAAAGTAAAAGAGGTTAACATAAAACTAGTGCGATATTTGACACTGTTTTGGATAAACTAACGCATGACTATTTTGTTGGATGGATGAAGTACCTATTCTCAATGTGCTCATCGGATATTTTGGTTCTAATTTTGCCCTTCGTGTGCCTAATCCTTGAAAAGACACTGCTCAAGAATATTAAAGGAACACGTTTTAATCAGAGTATAGCCTCAAGTCAATGAAACTCCTGGGATATTGATCTGGTCAGGTAAGTAGCAGAGGGGGTTGTTAATCCATTTCAGCTGCTTTGGTGGTAATGAAATTAACAACCAGTGCACTAGATGGGCAACAATGAGACAACCCCAAAACAGGAATGGTTTTACAAGTGGAGGCCACTGACATTTTTTTCCCCACTCATCTTTTCTGTTTTTCACCAGTTTTGCATTTGCCTAGGGTCAGTGTCACTACTGGTAGCATGAGGCGATACCTGGACCCTACAGAG